GGAGCGTCAGACAGAAAAAAAGATTGTAAAAACGATGGAGGTGTGTCGTAAAAGAAAAGATGGAGGTGTGGTTACCAAAGCTGTGGTCCGGACCACAATGTGGATCATGAGACTAAAAAGTGAGAGGTCTTATGATGATTTTTACAAATTAATTAAGTTTTTAAAATGACAAGGGCCTTTTTTATCAGCAGATATTTTTGTCATCTGCTCTTGACTTTTATCAAAACCTCTAAGCTTAGAGGAAACCAGGCATTAGGGTGGGGGGGCCAAGGTTGTGGAACAAATTACATACGCTTTACATTAGACAGGGATCCTCCTTAACTGCTTTGAAAGCTTCACCTAACACTTTTATATTCTTTGGATTTTGTTTTCTGTTGTTGATTTTTATGGTTTAGTTGTTTTCTTCTTTTATCTTTTATGTCTAGTTATTGAATTAGTTGTACATTTGTTTTATTGTATTGCACTATACAGCACTTTGTTTCACTTAGAAGTTTTAAAGGGCTTTATTATTAAACTGAATTGAACTGAGAGCTGTTATAAAATAAAATCAATTAAAATAACAGTCGTGAATTTATTCAAATATGTCACATGATGTGATGTGGGTCGATTGGTACAACATATATGTGCACATGAAGTAGTATTTTATCTGACTGCGAGTAAAAAAAATCTCTATGATTCTCATGTTTTATCCCTTGAATCTCTAACACTGAGAAGTAAAAAATGCCTTTTATCCAACCTAAACCTGAAGCAGGTTTTTACCAGGGTACAAGGTTTCAAGCAGGTTTTACCAAGGTGCAACATTTGCTCTTTGCAAATGAACCTGATGCAAATGGTGCATCATCGATTTTAGATTTGAAGCTCGAGAGAGACACGTCAGTGTTGACAATGTCTAACTGTGAATGTGTGTACACTTCATTTAGCCATAGTTGATGCCTTGTCTGTTATTTTGTGGATCAAAACCTGAAAAATAGGAATATACGATACAGGATTTTTGGCCGATATCTGATATGCAGATATATTAAAACTTATTTGGCCGATAAGCGATACCGATATTTTATATACGTTCTTTTGTCAAAACATATCTCTCTTATTTAGGCTTATTTGCTACAAAAATTGTGCAACAGCTGTAAGAGCTGGTGACATATATTCAGTAACAGCCATATGCATAGTACTTTAACTTGTATTAAATGAAATGTGTTAAATGTTATTTATTAGCATTAGTCACCTGTGATGCTGTCTCACTTGTGGAGGTTTGTTCCAGGTTCCTAGCTGCAGAGTGGGATCCTCTGCACTCCTGTGCATGAAGGACAGACTTTTTAAGTTCAAAGTTTTTGTCTATCCATTGTGCCGTAAGACTAATCATGCTAACGGGGCTAACACGACGTCCAAATGTCTGTGGTAAAACTCACCCAACAAGTCGTGCTATCAGCTATCAGCTTCTCAATGACGTCAGAAATGGCGGCTGGTAACTCGGGTAACGTTACGTCGGAAAAATATCTCCGACTGGGGACGATGTAGCGAGGCTCAACGTAGTCCATAAATCTTTGGAATCCGACATCCTCACCAACAAAAAAATAAAACTTCCACACAGCCGACAATTTGAATTTTCCTCTCTGCCATGAGATCAAGTAAGCGCACGTGACGTCATCGTGTTGTGCTGCCGCAAAAACAGCTCTTTTTATATCGGCGAGTTATTTTAATGGAATGGCTGTTGTCCGATATTGAACTTTAATGCTAATATCGGCCGATACCAATACCATGCCGATAATGTCGTGCATTCCTACTGAAACACTTTGGAACCACTGTCATGGATTAGAGTGGAGAACCTCAGCTATACTCCCCTTTAGAAAATGACAGAGGTGTACTTAATTTTTATTCATTTATAATTTGTTTACCTTTATTGTACCAGGTGAAATGTTTGAGAGCCAGTTCTCATTTACAATCATGACCTGGTCATGTGTTTTCTGCCTCAATGAGGGGATCACTAACACGAGTTTGAGTCACACTTACGTTACGTAAAACAGACCATTTCTGTCTGTTTATAACTACAAGTGGTCAAAAATGATTTAAAAACTCTCCAAATTGGCACCAGATTATCTGACATTTTTGGAGTAATCATCATTTTTTTTATATATATATAAAAAAAATTAAAATAGCTCAAATTTTGATTGGAGAATAACCTAAAATTTAAAAAGCATAAACAAACGTTAAAAAACAGCAGACACCTGCTGCAGGTCGTCATCACTTTTTACAGTAAAAATCCGACTATAATAAATGTAACTGGATTTTGGTCAAAGTGGTTTGAGAACAAAACTTTTTCCAGCCATCTCACCACCAGTGTTCAGCTTTGGCACGTCTGCTTTTCTTAGTAATGCCATGGCTGTTTAAACTGTGAATACTTCAGGGAAAAGTTTTAAAAACTTGAAGGGACATAAAATTATCCATCGGAAAAAAAATATATTTGGTTTCTAATCTGTTTTTACAGTTGATTAGCTAAAGAGGACAAACAGCCAAGCCCCTAATGAAAGAAGAAAACAGAATTACTATGAACTGTACAAACTTCTAAAAATATAGATTTTTCTTGTATGATGGAAAAATGAAACCTCTAGGTTTCTTCCACGTCCCTCATTTCCTCTTGTAGAAAACAGAGCTCTCTGTGGCTCGTCCAGAATAAACCTTTTAAACACATGGACCCAAAAAAAAAAAAACTGGAGCCCATATTTAAACCTCCTGAATTATATTTAATTGTAGAAAAACATGGCCATTTCCAGCCCTGTGGCTGAAGTTGAAAGCTGAGCTTACACCGAGAAGAGTTTGTTTTCACCGGCCTGTGAGCAGCAGCGGTGACCACCTAAAGCAGGATACAGGCCAAAACAGCAAGATACAAAAACTAAGAGCGTAGATAATGAATGAAAGGGAGAGAGAAAAAGAGGTTGAACGTGGGCGGGTTGAATAATGAGTGAGAGAGGGAGGTAAAGCCTCCTTCCATTCTCTCTCGTCTTGTGCTGCAGGGTTATTTTTAGCTACAATAGGGAGCAACACGGTGCTGTAGTGTAAAGGCAATAATTTTTGCTGCGGCACCGTCATCGTTCACTGCAACATCTCTGTCACAGCAAAGGAAACACTGAAACGCACGCATGAACACAACAGCTCGACGAGCACAGGCTTTGAAAAGACTTCATCAGTGTAAATAACAGCCTGCGTGTCATCCTGGGGTTTGTCTTTTAAAGAGTCAGCTTCATGGATATTGAAATTATCCAGTTCATACAGTTGTCAGTCTCTGAAATTTAGCTGACATCAATTTTCCTTCCCTAAACTGTAAAATAAAACAACTCAAACGTTACCCCCCTTTTTGTCATTTCAGCACACACGCTGACGTATCTCACTCTAAAGTGTCTCGTTTTTCACACGAGTGCTCTGAAAACAAACGTCCCCTCTCAGACGCCAAAGAGTGCGAGCGTGTCAAGTCAAATCAGCTTGGATAAACTGAGCCCTAACACATGCACGTTCACGCACACACACACACACAAATATATTCCCTAGCTGACATTTACCAGAACCAGGAGAAGACATCCTATCTGAGTATCTGAATCAATAGCTTCTCCTAAAAGAATTAAACACAATGCAGATGATAGTTGTTGTTTTTTTTTACAGAAATCAAAATCTATTTTTTACATTTCTAAATGGAATGCTCCCTCTTTCCTGCTTACAATACAGAGCTCAGAAGGTGAAGTAATTAAAGATCACCTTATTTGTTCAAAAGCACATCTCAGCTGTAACCTGAAAGAAAAAGGCCTCTGAGAGGGAGAATTTGCTCATTAACGTATGGCGTTCTGTACACGTATTAATTTGCTGAAATGTATCTTCTCTGTAATTAAAAGAACGACTAATTGCAGCTTTGAATGCATAGTTATCTCCTCTTACCAGCATAATGGGATTCACACTGTTTTGTGCAAATTTATCAAGTATGCCTGGGACACAAACTTATCACAGAATGTAAGAAGACCAAGCTGATATTTAGACATCAATACTGCTGAATAGCTATAAGTGAAAAAGATACTCTGCATTTGATGTAGCATGACTCACAGCCCCACATTGCTATGCAGAGCATGCAGTTATGGCAGACAACTGGACAGAATATCTATCTATGTGATGGAAAGTATACAGCTGATGATGGGGAAGGACTGGCATATGAAACGATCACGTTAACTAAAGGCTTCAAAGCAGAGCTGTACCATGAGAAAGAAAGCTATGAGTAATTGGGAAACCAGAAGAGAATCACACAATTAGTGTGCAAGACAGTCAACAGTTTTTGGACAACTTTAACTGAGTGGAATGGTTCAGATTCCACTCAGTTATTTTCATGTATAATCTGCTGTCAATGGCTCATTAAAGTCACTGTAATGATATGCCTGTGTCCCTCACTCCCTTACAGCAAATTTAAAAGGCAGACAGAAACAGACTGAAAAGGAAGCCTCAAACAAACACAGTGAAAAATCTAAGTGGATCTAACAAATATTTTAACTGTGAGAGGCAGGAAATTGATAACCTTGCTGCGTAGAAGTAGACAAAAATGTCAGTAAGAAGAGCTCGTTTGCAAAAGATCTTAAACATTTAGACATTTTTAAAGTGTGTGACATCATCCACAGCCAGTGCGACATTTTGTGCAGAAATCTTTAAAAATCACAAAACTGATATTTTTCACCTGCTTTGTCAAAATACCAATGATCATCAATAAAGGCTTACTGGCAACTGAATAATTAAAAACTGAAAATACAGATAATTCCACATACATAAATCACCTATAAAACAGTAGTGAAATACTGCACAACACCAGAAATATGGTCAAAGGACCTTATGTTGAGCTAAACTGAGATTATTCTTTTGTGGCAGCATCATTATGCTAAAGGTGGTATCGTTCTTGCAAAGTTTTAGCTAAGACGGAACAAGAACCTTTTCTAAAAATTGACAACTAAATTGTAGGAAAATGTTTATCTCACCTGTGATGAGCTCTCGAACCTCCATGTCGTTGGTCTTCCTCAGCAGACGGACAAGAGCTGGGATGCCATCACAGTTCTTAATGGCCACTTTGTTCTCATTGTCTTTGCCATAGGAGATGTTCCGCAAAGCGCCACAAGCCTTGCGGTGAACTTCAGACTTGGGATGATCCAAAAGCCCCACAAGAACAGGGATCCCCTTTAGTTGGCGCACATCCTTCTTAATTTTATCATTCTCATAGCACAGGTGCTGCAGATAGGCAGCAGCGTTGGACTTGACTGGGTCAATAGGATGGCCGAGCATGGCAATGACCTCCGGGAGATCAGGGTCCCGCCAGCGTGGGTCCTTGCGGATGCTGTCAATGGAAGGCGAACGTCGGCCACCCATTCTATCTAGACTGGCCATGCTCCCCCTCTCGGGCTGAGCAAGTGGTGCTGAATACATGCCATGGATGTAAGGGTGGCGCTCATCAATCAGCTCTGCCTCAACGGGGTCATCTGGATACACTCTGCAAAACAGGAGAGGACAGTTAGGACCCTTAGGATGGAAGAGATAAATGGAAGGTGACTCCGACTTGTTTGAGAAAAATTAAACAGCCACAAAAAAACTTTGAGGGAAGCCAAGTGAGATGAGAGTCACTGACAAAAGAGAAAAGGTAAACGCGAGGACAAGGTGATCTAGGGTTTGGATCTGTTATTATCAAGTTTGTCAGGGGAACTGTGATGACAATCCTTTGCAAGAAGTGAAATGATTTGCAGCAATCTGCTTTTTCTTCTCTGTCTGGTAGAAGTAACAAATATGTCAAACTTCAACAAACTGAGTTGTAAAGAAAGTGACAGGGAGACAGGAAAAGATGGCACAAAGAATGATTTTTTCCCCCACAAAGCTACAATGGCATACCAATAAAAAAAAAAGTAAAAGCTTTGCGGTAAAGGCTTGTGAAGTACTTCTTTATAAGCAACCCAGAAAAAGGGATTTGAAATATCTTCCCTCAGGGAGCAGAGAAAAGAGCTATGCAATCTCCCCAGGGAGGACTGTGAGCCCCTACAGTGGCTCCAATGCTCTTTTGGTCCAAACACTTAAATGCAATTGCTCAAATGTTAATGACCAACACTTACGGATTTCTCAATTAGCATTATCCTCATTAGCATTACTGGTAATACTGTTGGAACCTTAAACAGTATAGAGCTCTACTTGTTTTTTGTGACAGAATAAATGGCAAAGTGTTCAACGGGAGGTTTCCAACAATGATTTGCTATTTCCGAAGCCTCTTAAGAGTCTGAAGTGTATGGTTCTTTACAGCTTCGTACATTTTTTATGGGAACATGGGCAGAAATATAGGTGCTCAATTTCAGTGACAGATCATTTGTTTCTATATTGCAGGTTACTTATTTTTACTTAAGGCTCTTTCATCATAGGGAGGATTTTTCACTTTCAATGCCCAATCTGATGATGCAGAATCAGAGGAGCTACATTTAACACCGCTGACACACTGACTAGAATATTTATTGCCTGCTACTGAAAGGCAGAAGGTGGAGATCATGTTTTAGGCTACGTCTCTGTGTGCATGTTCATTTGTCACATTAACAAAACATCTCATGAATTACTGGAAGGATTTTATTGAAATTCCCAAAAAACAATCTTTCATTGTGCAAGTACGGCTGAGTAACTTTTGATATCAAACCAATTCAAGATGGCTGCCATAGCTAAGCAACTTTGGCCAACACAAAAATGGCAACAAAAGTCAAGTTTAAATATGTTGAGCTAAAAGTTGGTGTGGTAGTAGCTGAGAAGCTAATAGATTATGCTAGATTTTGTGATATTGCATAAGACTACACTAGCACTACAGTGGGTATCTAGTTATTTGAATAATAGGAGGCAATTTGTGCAGGTAAACAATGCAAGATCGGAATTTTATGTTAATGGATGTGGAGTTCCTCAGGGCTCTGTGTTGGGACCAAAGTTGTTTATTTTGTATGTGAATGATCTGGTTGATGTGTCAGGGCTTTAGAAGTGTGTCTTATTTGCCAATGATACCACAATTTTTTGTTCGGGTGAAGATATTGAGCGGATGTTAGAGATGTTACAGGCAGAATTCGTAAAAATACAAACTTGGTTCCAACTTAATAAGTTATCATTAAATTTGGAAAAAAAAAAAAAACGTGATATTTAGTAATAGAAAGAAAATTATCGACGTCCCATTTAAAACTGACAGTATTGAAATTCATTGTCATAGTCATCATTCACTCAATATAGAAATCTCAAATAAATTACTTGAGAATAAAAATAGCAAAATCAATTGCATTACTGTATAAAGTAAAAGAGTTTTGAATGACAATGCTTTGTATAAATTGTATTATGTAATGATTGTTCCATATTTAATCTATTGTATTGAAATTTGGGGAAAGCATGCAAAACAATTATAAATCCTATTATTATTTTACAAAAAAGAGCTATAAGAATTATTTGTAGCAAGTGCTATGGTCACCCAACAAATATATTATTTCATCAGTTGAAATTATTAAAAATTTATGATTTGGTTGAATATAATATTTTACAAGTCATGTATAAAGCTCATTAAAAATATTACCCCCAAATATTTAATTAAAATTTGTTAAAAGAGAGTCATTATAACCTTAAGGTAATGGAAATGTTTGTAAAACCTCCATTTAGAACTAGTCTGAAGGAGCTGTGTTGTAATACGATTGTGGGATTGTCTTGATATCACCATAAAAATTTCTAAAACAATTTATACAATGTTTAAAAAGATGATAAAGTTAAAGTTGTTAGGAAAGTATGCTACCATGTGAAGGATATCTGATGGTTTTTGTTTCCACTTTGGAGACTGTTCAATCCTTGTTTCAATCCAATTGTTGTTTGTTTGTAGTTATTTTATATTTGTTTAAATAAGGGGCAGATAAAATAATTATTTTCTTCTTTCTGCACCTTTTTCATTCATTTTTTTTCTTTTTAATGAATTTGTTTTGTTTCTTTCGAATGAAAGAATAAATGAATAAATAAAAAGACTGCATATCATTTTCAAGATGTGAACAAAAAGAATACAACTCCACCATTTCTCAAAAGATGATCTTAGTTTACGGTTTTGACATGAAAATCACTTTTTTGCATTCTTTCAGAGATTGCTAGGCCTTTAATTTAGAAAAGTATTTCATTACAGAAAGACAAGTCTGCAAGGCATTTTCTAATAGGGAGTGTAACCAAATACGAGTTGTGTATTTATGCATAACCATTACCAATCCCTGACCCACATCACAGTTGGACACTTACCCTCATGGTATAAATCTGTTGTACAATCGTTGTTGATACATAAAGCAGTGTCCAAAGTTGGTAGATGGCAAGAAATGTTATACAAAACTCAAATTTATAGTACTTATGGGATTTTACAGTTGTTTCCTGGGTATCCAGAGAAGGTTATGGTGGGGTCTGCATGCTGTCTTCCTTTAAAAAGTAGCTCTGATATATGCTTTGCAAAATATATTGGCTTTTATGACATTTATTTTACTTTGTGCATTTGCCTGCCAGAGAAGTCAATACAAGACGAACAGAGGTAAACTTCTACCTGAACAATGTGTCAAAATATTAAACCATCTCTTTGTGATGGATGGATGGATGGAAGAAGCCACAGAGGCTGTGGAGCCTTAAAAGATATTCAACTGCTTCAAGTTAACGGAGTTAAAAGAGTTGTGGTGTTGTAACACAAAATGGGTTTTTACTGATGAACTAATCTAATCATAAATATAAAAATGAGTTTGTTTTATAGTGTTGTGGAACTAGTGGGTGAGCCACAAACCCTCACAGGTAGCTTGAAAACACAGTGTAAAAGGAAGGGAAAACAGAATGAGCTTAGCGCTCATCATCTGTGGACTGCCTGCAACTTTGAGGTTTGGTTAAAAATGCTGAGATGAAAGACACTTTATGGAAAGCATGCAAAACTTGCATGTATGTACATATACATGTGCTGGTAGTTATTAATGCTTCCTTGCAGTTACTACAAGATCTAACCACACTCCCACATTTCAAGGCCAAAATCCTTCTCTTTTTTTGGAGCAGTGGAATAAATGACATGTCAATGGAAGTGAGGGCTGAAATAACCCATGTGAAGAAAAAAAAAGCCTTTCCCATTTCAAAATCATCATTAGCTCTCAAACCAACATATATAAACCACAACCATCTCTATTTCTTTCTGGTGTCATGTTTCACAATTGTGTTTCCCACACACTTTGGCACAAATATAATATGTACAGTTGTGTAGATTGTGTCTCATTTAGATCCGGGCTGATGCGGCACAGCTGACTGATGGGAATGTCAGGATTTGCATTTAAATTGGCAGCATTGTGTGGACAGTGATGGGTGAATTCACAGTGTGTGAAAAGCCTCTCTGCTGCCAGATGCAATACTGTGTGTGTGATTACAGCAGATCACTCTCCTCGTGTTAATCGAGCTGCTTAATGTCTGGGCTATCTGAGTATCTGTGCGTTCATTTAGGGATGCCCGACTGCACTTGATTTGAGCTTGGATATAGAATGTGTGCATGTGTGCACGTCACCAAACATCTATGAAACCAGAGTTTCTCACATCCTCACTGTCATCTTCTTCCTTTTTTGCTGATTACTTTCATCATCTGTTAGTCAGAGCTGTACTTCTGCAGACCCATCAAAGACAAACAAATGAAGGGATTACATACTCAGAAGATGTTTGCATCTCATATGTACGCAAAGAAAGTGGAGGATTAGAAAACTCAAATATAGCATAAACAAAATCAAATGTTGATTTGTTTCACTTTCATTTAAAGCCTATTGGCAAATGTAAAGCAGTGGAAAAGCACCAACTTGGTCAGAGTTACATCATTGATAAGGACGCATGAACGTTAGTGAATGAGCCTAACATTCCCATCTTTCTCAATTAAGTGATGAGTAACTGGGAGTATGTGTGCGTACATGTATACATGCGTGTGTGAATGGTGGCTAGATGGAGGTGGGTGCAGGTGAAGCAGGGTTGATTGTCCAAGGAGAGATGAACCATTAGAGATTGGCTTGCAGCCACCACATATTCCGGCAAAGTTCAAAAGCAGATGTTAATCACACTAGCACAAGGGAACCAACATTCTCAGAAAGGTGTTCATAGACACACTCGGTATCACTAAAGATGTATATAAGTGCTATGTATTGTCATCATTGTATGTTTCTATACAATGACGAAACTGATTCTCTGCATTTAACCCATCACACCAGAGATACACCCAGGTAGAGCAATGGGCAGCTTTGTAAGCACATAGGGAGCAATTAGGGATTAGGTGTCTGTTAGTTACCGTATGTTCCACTGTACTTGTCGCACCGCCATACAAGTCGCATCAGTCCAAATATGTCTAAAAAAATGGAAAAATCCATAAACGTGTCGCTTCGCTGTATATGTCGCACCTATTACGCGTCACCGCTGACGCGTCGCATTTGTTACATGTCACTGCTGACAACCCGGAAATGTGTGTCGGTGTTGTGCCAAAAATCAATGGGCTGCCAAATGGAAGCCAAGGGAGCGTGCACAGGAGGACTTTAACAAGAATTTAACCAGATTAACACTTAAAAACAATTATTTGTTTGCTCAAAATTATAGTAAAGGTGTGTCTCAGTTGAACGTTTACTTAATAAATGCACTTTAATGGTCAAATCAGCTGCATTTCGCTAGGGCAGCGCAGCAAAATGAAGCTGAGGTTGCGCCAAGCAGCGAGCAGAACGAAGGTGGAGGGGAATATGGCAAGCCGATAGTGTTATTAAGAGCTGGTGAATATTCTCAGTCATCCAGGACATTGTAAGTTCAAAAAAGTTTGACAAAAAAAAAAAACGTATAAATTGTAATAAATAAAGTCCAGTAGTTTTTGTCTTGAACTTTTTTGAATTTGTCATAATAGCCACGTTTACCTATTACATGATACAATGGCATGCCTCACTGCTACTACTACTCTGCTGCCATCAAGTGGCTGAAAGTGGTACTGCTCATTTTTGTCAGTCAGAATGAATGAAAACGGTTATATCTCAGCCAAAAATTTGTTTATAAATATGGGAAAAAATCTATAAATACGTCGCTTTGGCCTGTATGTTGCAGGACATGTAACTTGTGCAAAAAAAAACATGACTTATAGGCCAAAAAATACAGTATTAGGATTGTTTTAGGAGGAATGGGGTGGAAAGATGCAGTTACTATCCAAACAGTTTTTCCTCGCCTGCAAAGAAAGAGGAAAAAACAAAAGCACCTTTCTCACTCAGTAGCTAAATTTGAAGCACCCTTATGTCAAACATTCAACAAGTATACAAAAACTGGAGGCTTTAAAACCCCACAAAACCAAGAATGATATTATTTTATATTTGCAAAATTCTGAACTCTTCCCCTTTCACAAATGACCCTGGCCCTTGTCTAAATCCACTACACTCTCTTCTTTACCTTTCTTGTGCACTCAAAGTTGCTTTGGATGGTTCATCCCAAGTTCTTACACCATCATTTTCCTTCAACACTTCTATGGTTTGCAACTTCACAGTTCCTTCAGTCTCCCTCTCATTTGCACACACACATACAGTATTTTGTCTTGCAGTGATCTTCATTCCCATTTCTCCAGAGCATACCTCCACCTCTCCAGGCTCTATTCCACCTGCTCCCTAACTCACTCCTTAATGGTCTCCACTGCAGAATACGTCAAATACCTACAAACATCATAGTCCATGGGAACCCCTACCTGACCTCATACATCAACCTGTTCAATGCAAACTAAAAGAGGCTCAGAACTAATACCTGATTTACAGTGATCCCTCACCTATCGCAGGGGTTACATTCCAGAGACCCTCGCGGTAGGTGAAAATCCAAAGTAGTGGCGTTATATTTATTTTATTATTTATATATATTTAAGGCTTTATAAATTCTTCCCACACTCTTATTACCCTTTCCCTCTCTCTTATAAACACTTCAGTCTTTCCTCTACATTATACAAGCAGGGCGCTCCGAACTATCAACAGAACCGAGCGCCCTGCCTACTGAAACGAACTGCGCATCAAACCCACCCCCCTCATAGCGCTAAGCTAGTGGATGCGCAATACAGGCGCGCTAGCTAAAATACAAAAGGCAGTGCTCATGCTGCCTCTTTATGCTGACACCCCGCACCCCCCGGCTCAAAAATTGTGATACAAACAACACGCAGCTCCGATGTGTCTCCATCAAAAACAATCTGGATCTTCTATGTTGTATATTTTTCTATCAACACGCCTAAATAATGTTATTATTTTGTAGAGCTCTTCCTTGACATGGGACCACACTGTCTTTAACTGATTATCACCTCATATCTTAACCTGGCTTGAAAACTGCATTTTAGGATTGAATGCAACATATGAATGTAGTTGTGCTTGGTTTTAGAGGGCGCCTTAAGCCTTAATGATTTAATATATAGAATTTGTTGTTAACCATAAAGTCTTAAAGTGAAGCACAAACAGAGAACCTCCAACAACAAATCATCATTCCCATCCACATGCCTACATACAATGGACTCTACTGTGGAGGCAAAATGAGTGCATGGCGCCAATACTGAAAGTCATTTTAGTACTAAATATCTTCATTTTTGTCTGTGTATAATTGAAGGCTTGCATGAGATGATAAGCTGTAATTAGAGCGCTTTAAATCTAAGATTCATTACAGCACTTTGGAGATGCTGGTCCCTTCTTGGAAGAATACTAATTACAGCCTGGGTGCTTAGAAGAGTCAGAGTACTCCAGACGAAGGGAGTGTCACTTTTACTTCAATGAAATAAAATGTGTAAAGCATAGTACATTAGTTTTTTATTTATTTTTATTAAGCTGATGTGAATGTAGGAGATATTAAAGAAACTCAAAGAATAGATTTGGAACACATTTCTTGCTACAATGAGCCAGATTTGTTGGCATTTGGCCATTTACTGTATGTAGGCGGCTGTCAGTGAATGTGTCTCAGTATGTATGTATATGACTGTTAGGGCTGTTGTGACACATGTAAGGCAGGCTACAAATTGCCTGTCACAGCAAGCACCTCTCACTAGGTGGATGGAGTGACTTGTTTTCTGAAGATGGGGATTTTATTGAGTGTGTGTGTGTGTGCGTGTGTGTGTGTGCGTGTGTGTGTGTGCGTGTGCGTGTGCGTGTGTGCGTATGAGAGTCAGAGCAAAGTCAGTCCTGTTTAAAGACAGAGTCTGATTAAGAATCTTCTCTTTTGAGCCTCGTGTGTATCATCACTGCAGGAGCCTTTATATCCAGCATGTTGCAAATTCATAAGCATGTCAACACACGTTCAGCTAAGAAGCCAGGAACATTAATGCTTCTCGATCCATGGCCAAGACCAAAAAACACACACAGACACACTGTGGTCGTCTTACTCTGTCTTGCCTTTAACCTTTTTGTCTGTGTTTCTTTAGGACTGACTTGATATCAAATGTTTTATTTTCAGATTATGTAAAAGTGCAGAAAGCTTGAAATTATCCATCTGCTTCAGATCAGTGATCAAAAAGAAGTATTTTACTTACACTTACACAACTTCTATACCTTTCTTCAATTTACTTGAAGATGGACATTTTTCTACTTAAGCTCCCTCAAGATGGGTGACAACAAATGGTGCTTGGCCACTGCCTTAACTGTCATCGGTCCCGCACCAGATAAGGGCCTACCCACTGCTGGTACTCACCCCCACTCAGCCCAGTTTATGGAACAATCTTGTTCGTGGTTCCAAGCGAACTGCTTCGAGGCGACAATTTTGACATAAGTAGAGAGCAGTCATTGATTGGCCAACAGAGCTATGTCCCTGGATGACCTGTTCAGTAAAACTGCAAACTACATCTGAACCTCCATTTCCTCTCTGGTCGTGTAAAGTGTGTTGTTTTTACTAGTTTCTGGTATGGAAGCTCCAAAAATAGTGCCATGAACCATTGATGAGGTACAGACCTTCCTAACTTTATTGGCCAATGCTAGGATTCAGCGTGAGCTGGACGGACACAATACATGAGCACATTTACAGAGATATTGGAGATGATGGTTCCACATGGCTGCACCTGAACTTTTAAGCAGAGCTGGGATAAGCTAAAGAAAGTGAAGTCCAATTATAGAACGAATAAGGACCACAACGAGCAAAGTGACTTGAACACAATGGCCTGTTACAAATCTGTCCACTATACATTAACAATCGCACCCACAGAGCGGGGAAATAAGTCACAGTGGCAAATAACCTACACCTGAGAAGAATCGATAACATGAGAGCCAAGTGGAGTAGCACCTATCAAAGGTAAAGCGGCTAAACTAATTAAAAGCTATTACGAGACAAGGGGGAGTAGTGGCGCAGAGGTTAGAGAAGGTGGACCTTTGATCATAAGGTCACCGATTTGACTCCCCGAACCGACTACATCAAAATGTGGGTGAAAAAGGTCAAACACCCACACCTGCCTTCATCCTCATTTGTCCCACTCTGGACCCTTGAGCAAGGCCCTTAATCCCCATCATCTGCTCCCCTGGGAACCCTAAATGGCAGTTCTCTGCTCCACACAGAGGGCTGTGGTAGCTTGGCGGTCTGTGATTGCGTCAGGCAGGGCATCCAGCGTAAAAAAATAATTGCCAAATCATCATGTGAGCTAGTTCACTTTGAGCTCCCCTGAATATGGGAGCAACCAAAGAGGAAAAAAGGACAAGGGTCATGTCTTGTCTTCAATCATTCATGTCTTCATACTTTTGACACAAACACATATTCACGTCCATTTCAAGCTAAGTGGCAATCAAAGCCTTGTGTCTTTCTATGTTTTCATTTTCAAGCAAGTTGCTCAAGGACAAATATAGTACTATAGTGTAACTTTACAGCAAGAACAAGATTAATATTATTTTTGTTAGCATGCCTCTTATTTCCTCAAAGAGAGTATGTGCTCATGCTTAAAAACAGGAATTTAATGTCAGGCAAAAAACAAGATGTTCATTGTGTGAACTTGCACACTTTCCTGAAACCATTTCCAATGGGCTTTTTAAGCTATACTATTGAAACTAAGTTTTTGTGTTTATTCTTACCTGACTCTGTGCATATCACGAAGAGGTTCCCTGTGAGTGCGACCCCTGTTGTGCCCCGGCAGGGTGCGGCGATTGGCAGTGGAATAGTCAGGTTCCAGCTCATACGGTTCTTCATCTTCAGGCCCCAAACTACGACGATCGTCCTCTAAGCCATAAGGCTCTGGCTGGAAGCGCTCCGGTTGTGAACGGTTTAGATCCACATTGCTGCTTCCCATTGGCACCTGTGGCTGTGCCACATGACCATAATCATCCTTACGAATAGGCAGTGTGTAGCTGTTTTCTGGCCTGTAACTGTTGGGCATGTAGGGATAGCGCGGTGGCCGGAAATTGACCCCACGAGACAGGCTACCATAGTTGTCTGTCAAATCAGCATATCCATCATGCAGACCATAGTGGCGAATATATTGGCTCTCAGGTGTCTCGCCATATGAGTCATAAGAGTTGTTATAGGCGCGCGTCAGAGTAGAGGTTGCTTGAGGCGTTATGAAGCGGTCACTTCCATTCTTCAAGTAACGTCTATCAATGGAATCGGTGTAGCTACTCAATGGAGACGTCCCCTCAGGCAAGGGCAATCCATCTGGGCCAAGAGGTACCTGACGCACTGTCCGAGTGGTTACTGTCTTTACCATCTTAGTTACCTGTAAAACAGATGACATATACCTGTCAGTTCTTTGGCTGTATCATAAGATGCAAAATGCACATAATGAAAAAGAAATTTAAAGTGACAGTTATTCATCAGATTAACAAATGTGTATCAATCTCAATGTAAAGAACATAAATCTACGTACAGTGAGGAAAATAAATATTTGAACACCCTGCGACTTTGCAAGTTCTCCCACTTAGAAATCTTGGAGGGATCTGAAATTTTCATGTTAGGTGCATATCCACTGTGAGAGACATACAGTAATCAAAAAAATAATAATCTGGAAATCACAATGTATGATTTATTTATTTGTGTGTTACCGCTGCAAATAAGTATTTGAACACCTGTGAAAATCAATGTTAATATTTGGTACAGTAGACTTTGTTGGCAGTTACAGAGGTCAAATGTTTCCTGTAGTTTTTCACAAGGTTTGCACACACTGCAGCAGGGATTTTGGCCCATTCCTCCACAGATCTTCTCTAGATCAGCCAGGTTTCTGGGCTGTCGCTGAGAAACAAGGAGTTTGAGCTCTCTCCAAACATTTTCTATAGGGTTTAGGTCTGGAGACTGGCTAGGCCACTCCAGAACCTTGATATGCTTCTTACGGAGCCACTCCTTGGTTCTCCTGGCTGTGTGCTTCGGGTCATTGTCATGTTGGAAGACCCAGCCACGACCCATCTTCAATGCTCTAACTGAGGGAAGGAGGATGTTCCCCAAAATCTCGCAATACATGGCCCCGGTCATCCTCTCCTTAATACAGTGCAGTCGTCCTGTCCAATGTACAGAAAAACAGCCCCAAAGCATGATGCTTCCACCCCCATGCTTCACAGTAGGGATGGTTTTTTGGGATGGTACTCATCATTCTTCGTCCTCCAACCACAGCGAGTGGAATTAAGACCAAAAAGTTATATTTTGGTCTCATTTGACCACATAACTTTCTCCCATGACTCCTATGGATCATCCAAATGGTCATGGGCAAACTTAAGACGGGCCTGGACGTGTGCTGATTTAAATAGGGGAACCTTCCAGGCCATACATGACTTTAAACTATGACGTCTTAGTGTATTACCCACAGTAACCATGGAAACAGTGGTGCCAGCTCTCTTCAGGTCATTGACCAGCTCCTCCCGTGTAGTTCTGGGCTGATTCCTCACCTTTCTTAGGATCATTGATATGCCATGAGGTGAGATCTTGCATGGAGCCCCAGTCCGAGGGAGACTGACGGTCATGTTTAGCTTCTTTCATTTTCAAATAATTGCTCCAACAGTTGATCTTTTTCACCAAGCTGCTTGGCAATTGCCCCGTAGCCATTTCCAGCCTTGTGGAGGTCTACAATTTTGTCTCTGGTGTCTTTGGACAGCTCTTTGGTCTTTGCCATGTTAGTAGTTGGAGTCTTACTGATTGTGTGGGTGGACGGGTGTCTTTATGCAGCTACCGACCTCAAACAGGTGCTTCTAATTTAGAATAATAAGTGGAGTGGAGGTGGACTTTTTAGAGGTGGACTAACAGGTCTTTGAGGGTCAGAACTGTTGCTGATTGGCAGGTGTTCAAATACTTATTTGCAGCAGTAACACACAAATAAATTATTAAAAAAAAAACTTACATTGTGATTTCTGGATTTTATTTTATTTTTAAGATTATGTCTCTCACAGTGGGCATGCACCTAAGATGAAAATTCGAGACCACTCCATGATTTCTAAGTGGGAGAACTTGCAAAGTTGCAGGGTGTTCAAATACTCATTTTCCTCACTGTATGTTCAAACACATTCCGATTGTCAACCTGAGTACTATGGGTTATTATAATGTTTCTAAGTGATGTCTATTATAGAGCCATCTAGTCTGAAGTAGTGTAAGTGCTTTTAATATTTTACTTTGCTAACAAACGTTCTTACAAATTAAAATTTAAGTTGTTTGAACAAAAACAGTTCTCAACCTCAAAAATGAAACTCCATTGATGCAAACAAATGCATCTCTTTTAAGGTCTGATTGTCATCAGTCAGATGTGTCTGAATTTATTCACTGGAACAAGAGGAATTATTTAATATACTCAATGCTTAGCTATAACATTTTGCATGCATTAAGTGTGGAATCAGCGGACTGAGTGCTCAGGTTTGTGTGGTAACAGAAACATCTTGAAATGCAACTGCTGCTCCACTGGACCTTGAATCCTGAGTGGCCCCAAAGGGAGCAAGGTAACATCCAACTCCATACCCTTGGGTTTGCAACAACCAGACTAGAACATATTTTTTTCTCATGCTCACTTCTTTTTTTAGCTAAATCTCTCTACTGCTTCTGCTGTCTCAGTAGCTAAATAAATAAATAAATCAAGCACGACATCCCAACTATCTCTCTGGGCTCTCTGTCTATATAGAAACCAATTTGCTGCCCAGTGAATTCTGCTATGGCCAATAATTGGCTATTTTGTCTGCAGATATAAATTCATCTTAAAATTAATGAGGTTGATGAAAATCAATTATCATCTGCAGGTGCGCAGATCTGATGCAATACATGTCCTGCGTATAAAGGTGATGCTGAGAAGTTTATTCTCATTTAAAGAGCATTAATTTACAAAGAAATGGAGATAATAAAATGCTCTTTGCTCATTCCTGCTTCTGATGAGTTTAGTTTTTAACACCAGCTCTCCTAAATGTAAAGTGATATCTTTAAACTCACCAATCAATAGAATTGTTTCACTTTTAATCAGCAGTGAGTTAAGGAATATAACAATATCAGAAAGCACAAGGAAGAATTAACCTCTGCCTCACAGAAGGGAGTCAAGTGCATTAAAAACAGCAAATCGGTTGTTTAACACAGTATCCTCATTAACTCAGCTGAAACAAATAAGACATTTACTCTGGCCTCGTTTTTTTATTACACCCTGACTGAGCTACAGAGCAAAGCCCATTTCATGAACATCAAGGTTTGTTTCCATCTTCTAAGTAATTACTGAGTAGTATTTTCACTGTCGCCCTCTCTTGACTTTGCACATAGAAAATTGACAGTTCATATAATTGAGTTCCATCAGCTAAAAGATATGTAGGACTTCTGGATAACAAACTCATTTCCATCTACATGAATCACAGTGAACCATATTCTGCTGTCCATCCTGGGACTTAATGTTAACTATGAACCAAAGACAAATCAGAACTGCATTTAATGTTGAGCATGATGCAATACACTGGCATACCAAAAATAATATTTTAATCTATCTATAGTTACTTTATTTTTAGAAATATGCTGATTTTTGTTTTTTCTTGCTCATACCATTGAGTCAAATCATTTGTGTTGTACATTTTAAAAGAGACAAGTCAAATGTGTCCATTTTTTTGACATGTTCAAAAACTAACATGCAACATTCTGGCATTTGAGTTTAAATACAAATTGCAACATGCTCTCAATACTTTTACAAAGTCAAGCAAGTTATTTTTTACAAAGTAAAAGAGTTGGCCAGTTTACAATGTACTGTAATGGTTTTCATTTTGGAATATAGACTTTTTATACTCAGTGTAACATTGCAGGAGTAAAACTGGCATATCTAAAACTAAAAGGTCTAAGAGAGAAACTTAAGCCAGTATTTCACTTGCAACAAGCCGATACCGGCACTCCTTAGAGTGTTTTCTAAATGTCTCAGAACATGTGAGGAGACAAAACAGATTCTCAGTGCAGGTGTACTGTGGTTTGTGGATGCTGCTTACAGAGAAAGCATCACCTACACTGCTTGTGTTTTTGCCAACATAATTATTTTAGGAGCGTAATGGATGATTTGAATAAAAATATGTTTTGTAATTTCTTCCGTCTTGAGATCTGGGGTTATTCAGAAAACATCCAGGGCTGCAGCTGTGGATGTCAAAGTCTAACTGTGCTGATGAGAAATAATAAGAAGATGGTCCAAATCTGCATACAGTATTTTCCATTTCAAAAGTGTACTACAATAAATTTATTCATAAACTTGGGTGTAGCTGCCAATATGAATAGAAAGCAGGCCAAGCCAGGCCACAATATGGGCAATGAAAAAAAATGTGCACAACCTAGAATACAATTCTACAAGTCATGCACACAAAAAAGACCCTGAATTTCAAATACTGGCAAAGCAAAACAGCTTCTTGGCTCACTAACTGCAAACACCACCAGTTCCATATTGTCAAGTGCACCATTGTTTGACATAAATACTTTGAACATATCGTACCATCTGGTCCACAAGAAGCCTTCACTCGAACAAACTACTGTACTGTGTAATTCACCTCATTCATGCAGCTGTCTTCTATTTAAAAGTAGGAAGTTGTATTAATGCAAGAAAAATATATACTGTGGGCATCTTATCATTGACATACACCAAATATAGCTAGTGCTTTCAAAATACATTTACCTGCAGTGAATCAGAATCAGAATAAGCTTTATCGTTGTACCGAAATACAGTGAAATTATGTTCGTACAGTCGTCCGAAAGATGGGCGGAGCGCACGTTGCTGCTGCTCCTAAGAGCGCAGCCTCTTATTCTTTTTAGATAGGAAAAAGGGGGGAAAGCCATGAGGAGAGGATAGTGGTATTACAAAAAAGATCTCTTCACACCTTGTCATTATCAGGACACGATCTTTCAGACGACTGTACTTACATGTTCTTGTTGTATTTCGGTGCAATGATAATAAAGCTTGTTCGGATTCTGATCCTGATTTAAGACATTAAAAAACTATACCAGCAAGCACATTTATAACACATTACATATGTATTTGATGGCAAGATGGTGAGACTTGTCAATGAAGCACTTCCAGATAAAACCATAGTCCTGTTAGGATGTTGTCAGTTGGTACAGTTTCTGATAAGCCTTCACAGAAGTTCTCGGGGGTGCGTGATAGACTGCTTTCTCTGTTTACACATATCCCAGGAGAAATTCGATGTCTGCCTGCTTCAAGGCTGAAAAGGGGAGTCAGATTCAGATGAGCCACAGTTGTTGATTTTTTTCAGGCAGACTGTTATTTCTCGTCAGCCTTGAGTTCTG